ATAATTGCATTTACAAAGATGCAATAAAATGCGTATGTACGAGTCTTGACAATGTTTTAAAACCTAACCCAAGGTGAAACCCGACAAAGTTGTCGAGACTTGGGTTGACTGGTTTAACCGGTTTGATCGACGGTTAAATCGGTTGACAAAAACTTTTAAAATTCAGTAATACACCCTTAAAAATTACAGTTAAGTCTTTATAGGTTTGAAATTTAGCAAACACACCTCAAATACAAATCGGTCAACGACTGGTTGCGGCGGCGACACTTCAGATGCAACCCCAATCGTTTTTTGAGCCTATTCCCCTTAAAACATACTCAAGATCTAGTCAAAATAGGTTCGATTTTGGTCAGATCTCACCGACGTCGGCGTCGGCATTCCAAACCAGATCTCATCGATGTCGACATCGACAACCCTCCCCATCACTCAGAAATTACCCCCTTCTTCCTCCCGACCAAAATCCACCTCACCCCACCTCCGTTAGCCTCGCCAATCGTTGGCAAAGCCGGTTGTTGTCACTGTCAATTTTGTTCGATTTTCGATCGATTTATTCACTGGAAATCAACTCCGTCACCACCAATGCATTCACCGGCACTTTCTCTTCAAAAGTCCCAACATTCCAACCATCAATTATTCGTCGATTATCCTCCCAAATCCTAATGTTTTGGGTGAATAGGAAAAATATAAACCCGACCTGTTGAAGCTTTCAAGTCTCGGTTGAACCGATTAAGCTAGTTGGGTCAGGTCGGGTTTTAAAACATTGTGTCTTGACACGAAACACTTGATTGGTCGAATGTCGTGATATAATTGATTGGATGTACATATATTTGCCCAAGATGCATATACAAGATGTAATGAAATGCACATGTCTCGATTGGTCGAATGTCGTGATCTAATTGATTGGATGTAACTATATTTGCCCATTTGGGTCATTTCACATCCATAAACAGTTAAACACTTTCAACTTGGGCACTAAATTGAACCGAACTGGATCCACCACATACTACTATTTATAACGATACATAAGTTTGACTTTTTTGACTAGTGGCTATCCAACGGTCACAAAATTTAAAAAAGCTAACATAGCTTTTACACTTTTCAAAGATTCCGAACCAACGCTCCGAAAATCAATTTCGTCTTCAGAGCTCTGTCATGCTTCTCATTCATCCTCCAAATCGGCCATGAAAGTCATGAAGAAGCTCAAGTTCTGGTCGAGAAAGAAGAGAAAGAAGAAGCACTCTTACGATTATGATCAACACCAACCTTATTATTGTCAGCCTTTCACTCCCTCAACTTGTCCCCATTATCACCAATACTATTGCTCCTGCACCTCCTCTACTCCTCAGCCCTCCGCTCCTCCGCTGCCGCCGTGGCTCGAATCCGACGAGACTGAGTGTTATGAGTGTTATGACTACGTTCCGAGCCAAACCCAGTTGGAATATTCGGAAGAAGATGTGGAGGAAACGAGTCCCATCTGTCCAGAATTGAAGAATAGTGAGAGCTCTGAATCTTATCAGCAATATTTGGCTCCGAATCCGGCGTATGGATTGCCAGTTACGGCGGAAAGTGGAAGAAGAGAGAGACGTTCTGGGTTCTTTGGATGCGCTGCTGGGTTTGGTTTCGATTTGTTTCGCTGCTTTTTTCCATGCTTTCACATTTGAGAAGTCAGCCATGAAAAAGTTTGAATGTCTTTCATATATATTATAGAAGTATTTTGATTTTTTTTCTTTTGAGTTTGATTAAGAAGTAATATAAAAAGCTGTAATTAGAATAAATATTTTAAGTTGGTTTTGTTAATTCTGGTAATGGATTATGGAGTATAATGCAGATTAATCAATTTCCCCGGCTACTAACTCAATTTCTCTTCAAATTCATCTGCTAATCGAGCTTCACTTCCTCTGAAAACAATAAGGTTAATCATTTTCTTGTCTTTGATAAATTAGAATTGAATTTTGCATAAGTTTCAATCAGTAAAAGACATGTTAATTAGTGTAAAAAGTCTCCTGCTCATTCCTCAACAAGCACGCCAGCAGAGCCTTGGTCTTTTCCCACTGCTTCGAAGCTTCTTGATATGGTCTACAACCCATTAGGAGTACCTTCGCAAATGCATGTGGGGCATATATTTGAATTATCGCTCGGGTTAACAGGGGGTCTGCTAAATAAACATATAGAGATATAAGAACATGAGGCTTTGAGAAAACTCTCTGTTTTTGGAATTATATGAAGCCAAAATGTGAGAGAAAATCTATGTAACAGATTGTTTATATAATGCCTCACCTCCCCCGCGAGGTATTGTCCCCTCTGACCCAGCCCGTTGGAGCTCAAAAGCCTCACGGTTTTGTCCTCTTGCAGCCCATGCACAAAAGGCGTCTTGCAGGTGGGTAAGGGATCATTACTTATACGTCACTTCACTCTTTCACAACCAGGTGTTGTTCAATAGAAACTCTTGGTTGTAAGTCTCTAACTTCAGAGTTCGGGGATTAGTGGGGGTTTCGGGGACCCACATTAACATTATATGCTGTAAATCGCATTAATTAATATAGACAAGAGAATGTAAGTATGTGTAGCATTAGTCTTACTTATACAATGATGTAGTTTTATAGATTTTTTTTTTTAATAAACACCAAATACTTAAAAAATTAATACAAGCTTGCAGCCAAAGCTTTCCCTGTTCCCTGACAGGATCTCGACAGCTATTAGCACAAAGTATCCACGAATTCGTTTGCTAACTACTCTGTCCTCCCTCAGAAGGAAAAGTAAAAACAAAAGACAGTTGAAATCAATACCGTGTTTAATTAATTAAGCATCCACAAATTCCACATTGTATTTCCTTGAACCACCAAACATTGACCCTATAGTAACATTATTTATGGACGAAAATTTAACCTTAATCTCCTCACATGAAACCTTAATCCACTTCAACTGTTCCCTTCTCACATCATCAGGATCAATCCAAGCATGTGCGTGTAGTTTTACAGTGAAACACAATAACCCATTTGACATATCTACATGAATAGCTTCGGCAACCGAACAATTAATATACGAGGAGGAGACGTCAAAACTTGCTTGCAAAACCCACTTATTCTGCTCTTCGGATGCCAGTCTCTTACTTCCAAAGTCTTGGACAAAATAATATTGTCTCCTTCGTAGAAAATTGAAGCCTCGAATTCATCACACTGAATGAGATGTCCATAATTAGGGTTTGTGACCGAGAAAGTGATGTCCCAATTGGTTGTTATTTGCGGCGAAGAAGAAGAAGAGATGTTGAAGGGATATACTGTGATTGAACCAACTTGGAAGCCTGGAGGATGCAATTGGGCACGTAGAAATACTGTAGCAATTGTACAAGAACTTGTAATAAGAAGAAAAATTAATACGAATATCAAGTTATAATATCTATTGCTGAAGGAATTAGTGGCGGCAGTTTGGTGGCCGTGGCGGTGGAGGTGGTGGTGGTGGTGATTGGTCCAGGTGATGGGGTAGCCCATAATGTGAAGAATTGGATATTTCAATTAATTGATTTTACACTCATAGTTACAGGCTTTATATACGGAAAGCACAATCTACGGAATCTCCTAATTATGTCAATTACAATATACCGACATAATTAGGAGATTACAGAATATCAAGTATATTATGAATATCCTAAAACTGATATAATTAGGATATTACAATATATTCAGGAAATATCCAGTAAATCTTCAACACTCCCCCTCAAGTTGGTGTGTAGATGTCACACATGCCCAACTTGCCTAAAACTTGTGAGAAAATATGTTTGGAGACAGTTTTGGTAAAAATATCGACCAATTGATCATCTGATCAAATCTTGGTCAATTCAATAATCTTTTTATCCAATTTTTCTTTGATGAAAAATCTATCTACTTCAACATGCTTCATACGATCAAGTTGAACTGGATTATGAGCAATGTCACATGCTGCTTTATTGTTGCAATATAACTAGATTGGTTAATTAGGTTGATAGCCCAAATCTGCACGAGAAATCTTAGCCACAAAGCTTCACAAATCCCAAGTGCCATTCCCCTAAGTTTTGCTTCGACGCTTGAGCGTGCTACAACATGTTATTTTTTTGCTTCTCCATGTGACTAGATTACCATGTACAAAAGTGAAATAACCAGAAGTAGATCATCTGTCATCCACTGATCCAGCCCAATCAACATTAGTATATGCACTCATATTTTGGTGGTCCTTATTTTTAGTAAATATGATTCCCTTTCTAAGAGTAGGTTTTAAATACTTCAAGATGCGCGTAACTGCATTCATATGCTGTTCTCCAAGATTATGCATGAATGGTTGACTATACTCAATGCATAAGCAGGATCTGGCCTAGTGTGAGATAAGTACATCAATCTTCCCCCAAGTCTTTTGTAATACTTTCTTTCTAGCTAGTATACTTGTAAAATAATTATTAAACTCATCAAAAATATATATAAACATACACATATAAACGAATAATAAAGTATGGGCCCATGTTAAATTTTTCTTTATATACAAATATTTACAATATATACTCAAAAATAGCAACTTGACAGTGTAGCCCAACCCTTCCACTGTGTGACGTTCCGGGCGACCGCAACTTACCTATTACCTGCAAAAACATTGAAAACAATGGAGTGAGCACTAATTGCTCAGTAAGTAAACCCACTATGCTACCCTTCTCTCTCCATTGTTTAAATTCCAAATTTTCATTCCTTACATCACCTTTCCCGATTATTCTATATTCTTTCTCTGTTCTTTCTCTATTCTTTCTCATTCTTTCTCTATTTTGCTCTCTGTTTTCTAATTTTTTACCACTCATGATAATGAGCATGGTATTGTGCATATTCATAATGCAAATGCACGAATGCATAAATTATGCATTTTCTTTTCTATTTTTCTTATTATGTTTTCTGTTTCTTTTCTTTATTTTCTAGTCTTTCTTTCTATTCTTTCTTTCTTTTCTATTCTTTGTTTCTTTTCTTTGTTTCTTTTCTTTCTATTTTCTTTCTTTTCTATTTTTTCTTTCTTTTCTATTTTTTCTTTCTTTTCTTTCTTTCTTTCTTTTCTTTTCTTGATCAGACTCGGTTGAGGCATGGATTTGGAGCCTTGGTCGTGTGAGTGAATTCTCTAATTCTGGTTATAGTCCTCATCCACACGCACTTCTAACGGACTGCACAATTCTTCTTTCTGAATTATGAGGCTGCTCACTAAAGGCGGCATGCATGTGGGACTATGTCGGTCACGGCTCCCCATCGCAACAACCTTCTCTTCTTTTTATCTTTTTACACTTCTTTAACTAAAAATTCAGATTTGAATATCTTTAATATTGTCATTTCTTTCTATTTTCTCTTTAACATATTTTAGTGTTTTTTCATGCTCTTATGAATATGTATGCATGTAGATGGTTTCATGCTTATATATCTTTCTAAATTCACATGTTTAAATGCAATTATGCATTATGGAATGCAAACATGTCATTCTCTACCATCTACAAACTCATCCCAAAGTAATACATAATCATATTCATACATGCACTTCTCTTTGGCATTTTATCAAACAACTCATTTGCACAAATCAACACTAATTTGACTACACTTCTATCTCTATTTTAGGCCACCAAAAATTTGGAATAAACTCCTCCATAATAAACACCAAATCTGCCCAAAATACACACTTCAAAATTTTCACTTCAACTCCTCCAAATCTCAACCAAACATTCAGCAAGTATCACATACACCAACCCAACTTCTCATGGATAGGTTCTAATTATTATTCAACACCAAATCCATCAACAATTCTACATATAACACACACACACACACAGAGATATATATATGTAAAGAAAATTCTCTACACAACATAACTTAAATCATACTTAGGGTAGGATTTACTTACCTCTGATATGAGCAAATTCAACCCTTTAAGAATCTTCTTTGCTCAAACTCTCTTCCTCTTAAATCCTATGAGCATAAACTATCAAAATCAACAGTTTAAAAATAAAAAATCACTTCTTAGTGCAAAGATCTTACCTATAGATGCTTGAGATTGAAAATCCACTCAAAAATATCCAAGATCTATGAATTTCTTTTGAAAAAGAAGTGAAGAAATTAAGAGGATTTGGAGGAGAAGTGGCGTGAAAATGGGTTGAAGAGTGGCTAGGGTTTCACTCTTCAATCCTTGATATAACATTAAATTATATATAGTTTCCCATTTTGCCCTTACGCTTTCTTTAAAATTCCATCTATGTACCTTAGTCAATTACCATAAGGCCCTCATTTTTTTGTATTCTCCATGAAATTCTATCTCTTTTAACTCCCCACATTTTCAACTAATTTTGAGTGAAAAGACCATTTTACCCTTAATGCAAGTTTAAGGCATTTTCTTCACATTTTCCTTAAAATAACCATAGCAAAAATCAACTAAAGGTATAAGAGCATAAATTAAATCACGTACCTCCATGTGGGCATTACATCTTTGGTATCTCCCTTAGTCAACTGCTACTTGATCAATCTCGACTCCTAATTTCAAACCTTCTTCGATTGGTGTATCAATTGGTTGACATGCTAACATACCAGTTTCCTGTAGTACATCCAAGGCATACTTTCTTTGTGATAGAAAGATACCTTTGTTAGATCGAGACATTTCGATTCCGAGAAAATATTTC